TCTCTCTCTCTCTCTCTCTCTCTCTCTCTCTCTCTCTCTCGCTCGCTCTCGCTCTCTCTCTCTCTCTCTCTTTCTCTCACACACACACACAGACACACACACACACACACACACACACACACACACACACATGACAGCGTCAACTTCCAGCGTTATTGGACTGCCACGACGACGCAGCATCCCCGCAGTCGCTCACCCACGCTGCCCATCACTTCCTGCGTTCTCGGAAGACCACGACGACTCTACACTTTGCGTGCATCCCCCCAGTCACACCCCCCAGTCACATCCACATAGAAACTGTCGTTGGAACGAACGTCTGAAGGGGATGTAGACGACGCCCACATACATGAACCCAGATAACTGTAAAAAAAAGACCCTTCTTCGAGACCCACAAGCCAAAACGGACGAGGGCGAGCCCAAAAAAAAAAAAATATTGTGTGCCCGGTGTCCAAAAGACCTTCTCCCGAAAAGGAAAGTGAACCGCGACCACCACCACCGAAACCGACCGCACTCACGTACCGACGGCCCTCCAATTTCTCCACCTCACACACGACCGGTCCGTCTCCTGCCCCGGACCGCACCCTTCCCCTGCACCGCACGACGCCCTGTAAACCCCTCTAACTTGTCATCGACATGCCGGAAACGGAAAAACGGCCGCTAGACGACAAAAGTTGTCACCGCAAAACGCAGCCTACTGGCTGCGAACTACCCCCGGCAGCCGAAACTCGACTTTCCGGTTAGTTAGGGCCGCCTTTGGGGGTAGGTCGGCGACTGCTGCTGGACAAACAAACAAAAAACAAAGCGCGAAGAGGTGAAGACGTTATGGGCACCACTTTGAAAGGATGCCCTGTACGTGATATGCGCCGCCCGTTGGCTCTTTTGGAGCACAAAAGACAAAAAAATGAAATGGCTGTGAATCTTCACGCTTTCAAGGCGAGATTCTTTTTTTTTTTTTTTTTTTTTTTGGGAAAAAGCGAGCAATTCCATTCAAATATCAAATTTGAGGCCGGGACTTCCTCACAAACAACCCGGATCGACGCAGACTAGTGCTGGGGATCCCAAGCACCATACATGGGGACGAGCCCCAACGACTCACTTGGCACAAGGCCGTCCTGTTCAATTTTTTTTGTACCAAAGTTTACCTCTTTGTTCCCTGGTTAGCCTTATCCTACATTCCTTCCCACTCCCCGTCTACAGCTTACCTCCTATCTCCCTTCTACCCCCTTCACTCTGCCAACTAGCCCCACCCTCCCACTATTGGTACCCTACATCTAAATCCTATCCCTGATCCTAACCCTTCCTTACCCTGCCTCTCCTACAACCCCTAGTCTCTCATTCCATCTATACGATGGCTGGAACCTAATTCGGTTCCGAGTCACTGTAGCCCTCTCTTACCCCACTTCCCTCCTGCCTTCCTAGTGTGGAATTAGAACCGAGTGCACTGGTTTATCCCAACCTTCTCCTAATTTAACCAGTCTGCAAGTTTCATCTTCCCCTCCTCTTCAATTGTAGCCAGTTTCCCGTTGATCGCCCATGTTTCTTTGAACCAAGTTTGGCCAGTCCGTCGGTTCAGACCTCCTGACACTTTTCGCTTCCAGTCCGCCAGAATGATTCTTCGTGCCATTTGCTTGAAAGTAGCCTTGATTTTAGGATCTGGCATAAATTTCCCTTGGAACAGACTTCTGTTTCGCTCCGTCCACACGATCCAGAAGCCTATTGCTCTGAACACCTGAGCCACATGTCCCCAGCCCTTCTCCAAACAGAGGTTCTGTGGGACCCCGCCCAACAGGACCCATTCCTTATTCCAGTCCATTGCATCCTCTCATAAGATCTTCCAGTGGTCTGCCCACCATTTCCAAATTCTGGTTGTCGCCGGGCAGTCCCACCAGATGTGCAGCATTGATTCAAACCTCCAAAGGCATCTCTTGCATTGCAGATCGACTTGCAAACCTCGTGACAGAAGACAGCCTGCAGACGGGGTGGCCAACAAGGAGGCCAACCAAAGTACTGCCGCCGCTCTGGGGTTTGGGGCATTTGCCAGTTGTGTCCAACACCGCTTCAAAGCCCAAACTACTTTCTCTTCTTCCACCCCATTGACCTGGGACGACCTCTCCACTGCTACCGTCGCCGGGGTTCGTTTCTTCTTCTGTAGCTTATAGCCCAGTTCCAGCGAGTAGTCCTTCAGTGTCAGATTCTCCCCTTTTGGGCCCTGTTCCCTCCAGGCCCATTGCTTTGGATCTGCTCTGAGATTTGTGATTGCTTCCCCTGCTTGCCAAAGTGCGGCTGACCAGTGGCCGGAGTCATCCACCTTTTCCAACACACGAACTTCCCCCGTGTGTCCCTGGGCAACAGTAACTATCTGACCCGGTCCTTCCTCCGCTACCAGTTCGGATTCAGATCCGGCCCGGAGTTTCCACTTTTGAAACTTCACTCCTCCTTCTGGGGGTAACTCCGTTAGCTTCAGGTACTCCTTTTCATCTGCAGACTTTTGAACTGCATACCGCGTTCCTGGGGGATTGACCCCCTGAGGACTTAATAGGTGAATCCAGTCCAATGGCAAAGCCTTGATGATCTCCCAGCGTTTCGTTCCTACTCCCCAGCAGTTTTTTAACTTTTGTTGCAGTTCGGTCTCTGAGTACCATCTTCCTTCCAGATCGTTCCAGAGGTCTCTGATTCGTACTACTCCCTTTCTGATCCACACCCTTCCGAAGCTGCCCCCTGATGAGTCCGCCATCAACATGCCTCCATCTGCTTTTCTGATCCGCTGGTTCTCAAATATAATTTCAGACAGTACTTCCTCCTTCGTGATTGGGTTGTCAATTGCTTCTGGCTTTGCTTCTTTCCGCGCCTGGAGGGTTGCCGCCCATAATTCTGATTTTATCTTTCTTCTTAAATATGAGTCTATCCAGATGTCGCTGGAAGAAGGGCGATCTCCATGAGACTTTGGCCATAGTTGAGGCCTTGTGTCTCTGTTCCTGCGAAGTGTGGAGGTGGTTGGTTGGGAGTCGCGGGCGGAAGGGAGGAACGCGTTCTCACGTGGAGTGGGAGGAGGAAGATTGTTCAAGCGCGGGCATCCGGAAGGGACTTCGACAATGTTTTGCTCCGACGAGTTGATCTTGACTACTCTTCTTGTCTGATATCTCGGGTTAGGGTAATCGCTATTGCTGTTAAATTCTATGACAATTTGATAATTACGATCGGGGATATACTCACAGCTATTTTCCAAGGTAAGTTCAATCTCTACGATCGGGGTTATATTCGCAGCCTTTTCAAACGTAAGTTCAATCTCTTCAATTACAATCTTAGTTTGGTTTTAGTTCACTTTAACATTATCTATTCTGAATTGTAAGCTTATCTGTAGCAATCATCACGATAATTACGTAGTTTTGTTCCTTGACTATATCCTTTAACAAATCCTGAGTGTTTTTTAATTCTACTATCATAGCTTAAATTCTGATAGTTTTTTTCGATAATTACTTTCTGCTCTCTAAATTGGTGGGAGTTGTCATCTGTTCATTGGGCGCAAGGGGAAGGGGAATAATTGTAATAAGCTTTATTGTTGCCCTGCGCCCTCTGCAACGGGTCATTTTCAAGAGAAATTTTCGATCACTTAATGAAGGAATCTTGTGCATTGACCCGCTTAAATATCACACTAAGTTCAAAAGAAGCACGCTGAAGAAATTTGGTCCACAGTTTCAATGTACTGAGACGGGCGTGGTCCTATATACACCTACTAGTTTATCGAGGGCTATAGCTATTGATACTATATTGAATCAGAAGCAGATCAATGCAAAAGGTGCCTCTGAGAAAGAAAAGTTGTATTGTGTGTATGTAGCAATTGGTCAGAAGCGTTCGACCGTAGCACAATTAGTGAAAATTCTTTCAGAAGCGGGTGCTTTAGAATATTCTATAATTGTGGCAGCCACTGCATCAGATCCTGCTCCTCTTCAATTTCTTGCTCCTTATGCAGGTTGTGCTATGGGAGAATTTTTCTGAGACAACGGGTCATTTTCAAGAGAAAATTCCGAGCTTATTCCTGTGGGCTGGATCGATTATTTTAGAAGGATAGAATTGGGAGAGTGGGGTGGATTGGGAGCGCTATCCTGCAGGGGATTCACAAGGAGGGGGGTGAATGTCTCGAAGAGGGTAGAAGCGGAGTTGGGGGTTTGTCCTGTTTCTGGGGCTGGGGTGGTGGGAGGGGTCAACATCGTCCTCAGTGGAGGCAGAAACGGGCAAGGGGTGGCGAGGGCATGTTTTAGGAGGGAACAACGTGTCCTCGGGGACAGGGGCGGAGGGGGTTGGTCCTATATTGGGGCCGAGGGAGAGCGGGGCACTCGCCTCGGCGGCGGTAGTGTAGGGCTGACGGGGTAGGGGGAAGGAGGGGTGATTCTTTTGAAGATTTCTAATCTTCCAGTCCAGTAATTTTTTTCTCTTCAGTCATTCCATTGTTCGCCTCTCGAGGACATTGTAGGAATAGGTGAAATTTGGCAAGTCATCTTTGATCCTGCGTAGAGTGGTTGGAAATTCGGTGGCCCTCGATGACCGATGCTGGAGCGACGCTGGCCGGAGCCGGAGCCAGGTGGCGCAACTCTGTGACCTAGCTTAGTGGGGGCGGGAGGCCTGGTAGAGAGATCTGGGGGGCTGTTTGCGGGGGTAGTCTCAGTGGTCATCGGGGGTCGTAACTGAAGCAATGCTGGCCGGCGCTGGAGCAAGGTGGTGCAACTCTGTAACCTAGCCTGATGGGAGCATGAGGCATGGAAGAGCTTCGGTTTGTGCTGAAAACAACCATGCTGGTGGTGGTCGCAGGTGAACTGAATAGGTTTCACCTATCTGATTCGTGGTTGGGAGGCTTGTTGACGCACATTTTCTGAAGGTTTCTCAGTTTTTCCTTTTCTTCAATTGTTCTTAGCCGAAGCCGGGTAATGGCCCCGGTAGCTCTTTTTTGTATTCTGATAAGGGACGCTGCGCCCGGTTCCCAGCCGTGTTGCTCCCCACGAATAGATTGGAGCATCGTCTCAAAAAAAAAAAAAAAAAAAAAAAAAAAGTCTATCCAGATGCAGGCCACACATCCTTTGCCCTGGACAGGTCTCATTCCTTCTTCAGAATTGTTTTCCCTAGCAGGATCCAATGTTTGTTTTCCTGTGTACACACTGCTCTCACGACCCATCGAGCTAACATTGCTATGATCCTCCGCCCAGGTTCCACTAGCCCCAGTCCCCCCTCCTGTCTTGGAGTGCAGATAAGGTCCCATGCCACCTTTGCCATGACTCCCTCCTCCTCATTCGCGAATGGGCGCCACAAAAATCTGGTAGTCCTGATGATGATCACTGACTGTGTTTTCTTCCCCATCGGGTGAACATTGCCCACAAACCATAAGAGTGCAAATAGTGTTGCGTTTACCACCAGGGCTCGTCCAAATAATGACAGGTGGGGGGCCTTTCCCCAAATGGCTGTTCTCTGCATGACATTCTGTTGAATAATCTGATCTTGATGGACTCCGCTGGGCTGTAGAGAAATCTGCACTCCAAGGAAGCGTTCCGTATCATCCTCCTTGATTCTCTTCATTCCCCAGTTCACCGTTGGTGCAAACCTCTTTGGTAAGAAGAAAGCTGACTTCTGCCAGTTGATGGCAGCCTCGGACAGTTGTTCGTATTGTCTGAGGCAGTACCGGAGTGCTCCCAGCGATTCCTTCGTATTCTGTGACACCGCAAAGAGGTCGTCTGCAAGGGCCTTCACCTTGCAAGTTGCAGATTCCATCTGGATATCGTGGATTCCGGCGTGCTCCCTGATGTTGTTCAGTGGGACTTCAAGCTGAACCACAAACAACAAGGGTGCCAATGAACATCCTCGTCTTAGCGAACACGACAATGTGAATGGCTCTGACAGGTGTCCATTTACCATCACCGAGGCCATAGAGTATGAATACAGTGCTATTACCCAGGTGCAGAAGACTTCTCCAAACCCCATCCAGCGCAGTGTAGTTACCACATACGACCAGTTAACTCTGTCGTATGCCTTTTCCATATCCAGCATGAGCACTGCGACGTCCTGGTCTTCTTTGCTGACTACCTCCAGTGCCTCAATCGCCATCACTATGTTCTCAAAGATTGATCTGCCTCTGACGAACGCCGCCTGATCTTCTTGTACCAGTAGCGGAAGGTACTTGCCCAGTCTTCTTGCCAGGAGTTTTGCGAGAATCTTGTAAGACACGTTTAGCAACGAGATGGGACGCCAGTTCCTTATCTCATTTATGTCCCCTTTTTTTAACATAATTGAGATAATCCCCTTGCAGGCACTGGTGGGGAGTCTTCCTCCTGACAAGATCTCAATGTATAGCTCCACCACATCCTTACCCCGCTCGCCCAGTGCTTACTGTAGAACTCCGCTGGGAGGCCATCATTCCCCGGCGTCTTCTCGTTCGCCATGACTTTGAGTGCTTGTAGTGCTTCAGCCTCCATTACTGGTCTGTCCAAATCCAGTTTCACGTGTGTTGGCAGTTTGCATCTTGTATTCTCCCAGTGGTCTGAGTTCCAGGCCAAATTCGTGTCCGCTCCCTCTTCCGGTCTTCGAGAGGTAAGAATGTCCTTAAAGTACTTCGCTGCGTATGCACACATAAGCTTTGGTTCTACCGCCATGGGTTCCTCCTGGTCGAAAGGGTGTCTGAGTTCCTTCATTGCATTTGCAGTTCTCGATGACACCAATTTCTGGAAGGTCTCTCTCGACATCCGGTCATACACTTCAATCCCTCTAACTTTGAGGCGTTCTGCCCACTGGTCAGCCTTGTCCTGTTGTAGCCGGTCCCAGTCTGCTAGTCTCCTCGCCCTTTCCTTGCCCCACATTCGCTTGGAAATGGGGTGCTCCTTCATTCGTCTCTCGGCATCCTCTACCCGGTTCCAACATTTTCGTTCCTCTTTATTTCTTTGCAGCGCAAGGATCCGCGAGCAGACGTTCAGTAGGTTGGACAGAATGCGAGAGCCCCCCTCCCACCAATCAGCGGTAGAGGGAAAGTTCCCTTTTTGCTCCGTCCATCTCTCCTAGAACTGTTGAATCCAGATGTTTAACTTCTCGTTCTTCAAGTTCTGAACGTTGAAGCGGAAGAAACCTCGGCCTCTCTGCAACTCTGGTCCCATATGAAAGGAGGCAATTATTGTTTTATGATCTGCAACTGGATTATTTGTCTGCTTGACTTCCATAATCGCTTCCTGAGCCAGTCCTGCTGTCAGGAAGTAATCGAGGCGTCTGCCTGTTCCTTTTGCAGAGAACCACGTGTAACCGTGTGTCGTCCGATGCAGGTCCCGATATGGGTTTCTTAAGTCCCAATCCGTCATTAGGTCCTGGAGCCCCAACGCATCTTTCGTGCATCCTCCTCCCTGGCTTGGGGCAGCGTCCAAGGACATGTTCCAGGCCCCGGTGATTACCATGTTTTCGATGTCCGGTAGGACTGCTCGCAGCTCCTCGAAGAACTTGATCCTCTGTTGCCTCTCAACCGGAGCGTATACTGACACCACGGCCCATGCTTGCCCACTAATCCATAGCACCACCCAGGCCCAGCGGCCCCATAGGTCCGCGTAATAGTCTATTATCTCTGCCTCCAGGTCCCGATGTATCAGAATACAGACTCCCCCCTTTGTACCCTGGGCCGCCGCCCAGATCTGGGGTCCGTCCCACCACGAACCTAGCAGCGAAATCTTCTTATCATCCAACTTGGTTTCTTGAAAGCATGCAATGGAGATCCTGTTCTTGCGCAGCCATGATTTCACTCTGCTCCTTTTTCGACGACCCCTGGTGTCTCCGAAACCCTGCAGGTTCCACGTTGTTATTCTCACCCTAACCATTTCGACTTCCCTTCCCTTGGCGTGATTGGATTTGGGATGAAGATGTACCTGCCTGTAGCCAGTTCTGCAGCAACATATGCTTGAGATATTGTGAGTCTAGTTTCTTGTCCTTTGGGAGACGACTTTTCAACTCTACTAAGCAGTCCGCTGGCAATATCAATGGTGAGATGCACAGTCTGGAGAGGTCCTGTTTCTTGACTTCCGCAAAGACCGAAAGCGGAACCAAGTGCAGACCCAAATTCTCCAACTCCGATAACTTTGTCTCTGATAATCGTGTGTCCTTAATCGGGACAAAGAGTTTGACCTTGTTATCACTAGGGCCAATGAGAATTCTCGCCATCGCGATATCTGGGATTTCCCTTACCGGGAAGTGACCCAGGTACAGGTTCTGTACCACCTCCTCGATTACTGTAGGTGTCGGCATCTCCGAGACCTGCTAGCCAAAGATCAGCTGAGAGCCTGTGTTTCGTTGCCACGTCACTACCCATGCATTATTCCTCGTCATTGTACACAACAAGGGGATCAGGTATTGCGGCATGTTCGCACTAGCTCCTCTTGCCGTGGTTGCCAAGCGCCTGTCCCTTGTGGTTTTATTGCCGGGCGTGACAATTCCAATTTCGTGGCTGGTGGAGCGTTCGAAGTCGCTTCTTGAAAGCCTAGATTGCTCTGGCTGTAACTCGTGTCCGGAGAAGCTCAACCTCCTTTGTTTCCCGCTGACAAGCCTTTAGAGCGGCTTGGAGTACATCTTGATTCCGAGTCCACCCTCTCCCTCTGTTGAACTCAGTTCCCTGCTGGGATCGTGGTTCCTTGCGGCCTCATCGGTGTCGAGGCAGGCATGCTGACTGGGCGCGTCCCTTGTACATCTCATTCTGTTTGTCTACTTGGTCCCCCAGTTGCCTGTCCTCCTCCGTTTTGAGTGCTTCCGTCCAAGTTGCGATTTGGATCGACTCCTCCCCCTTGTACCTGATTTGGCCTCATTCCCCCTGCTTCCTGAAAGAGGAACGGGCTTGGGCCCGCCCCTTGAGGGTAATTTAGCGGTCCACCTAGTCCTTGTCCTTGCTGTGGAAGGGCTCCTATCAGGTCCACGAATCCTCTATTTGCCATCACCATGGCCGTCCAAGCATAATACTGTCTTAGCGCCTCCATTTCCTGCACTGCTGCGGTCGGCTGCTCCGTCACGTTGTGTCCCAAACCTGTTGCGGGGAAGAGGCCAGGTGGACCTTGGCCCATCATCCCTCCTAAGGGTTGCCCCATAGGATGCTGTGGAGAGAAGATCGGATTGTTCCTTGTGGTTGATACGTGGCTGGTCGAAGGTTGTTCCGTTCACTGTACTGGCCTTGATCCCAATGCGCCTTGGTATCTCGATCTTGTCTCCCTTTGTCTGGAGTGCTCTCCCGATTGTTGTTGCATCGATGCTCCCTGTCTCCTCCTGCTTGATCTTGACGCATGTTTCTTCTCCCTCTCCTACACTCCTCTTCCGAATGAAAAATTTGTTTGCACTTTCTACACTTTAGTGTTCCTGCGGTTGCAAGGCAAATTTCCAATTTATTGCCCATGGGAGTTTTGATCCAAATTTTGTCCTTCATATTTGAACATACTGCTGGATCCAAATCGAATTTCGCGTTGATCAACGCTGTCTGCATCTGCTGGGTATGCTCGGATGATAGGGCCAATTGCTCTTTCAATCCGAGCGTGGATATACGGCATATCGTCCAAGGGGACTTGAACTGCCGTTACCCAGAAGTTGTTCTCGTCTTCTTGTCGCGTCATCTTTCTGAACTCTGCTCGCGTCATCCAAGGTTTAAATAAAACCTTGTATTCTTCATTCCCCAAGAGAATGATCAAACTGCCTTCGCTAATCATATATCGGGCCACCTCCGGCGACTTCGCTACATACGAGACTACACTTGGTCCTTCTATTTTTATTCTCGCTCTACGCGTGTTCTCTGTAAACTGCTCATTCCCTAACACCCAACCATCCTCGAAAGCCCTAACCAGATCGTCTTTCACGTTTCTTGGCAGAAAACGAGCGGCATCTTTAAATATTACTGTCACTGTGCGTTCTTTCAACCATTTAACCTTGATGTCATTGAGTGATGTGTTGAGTTTGAAGTGTGCCTCCCTGTCGTCGATCGTCATTTCGCCTGGATCGATGTCCGCGGGGTAGACCCCATCGTCAAAGCATAACGCCAATTGCTCTCTAATACGGTCTTTGTGCTCCCAATAATGCCTTTCCTCTTGAGGGCCAGTAGGTGGGGCCCTTCCAGTTCCCTTCTGCCTCCCAGTTCTTTCCATCGCTTCTGCCTCCATGCCTCAGGATTTGCGCGCTGGCTACGACTTTTGTGCCCACGTCTGTCCGTACAACTCCTTTATTTTCCTACTCTATCTCCCCGAAGCGCATCCAACGAACTCTTCTTCCTTCTGGGGACAGGGTAACTCCCCACCCTTCCTTGCAAACCTATGGCTTAAGCCAGTCAGCCATATCCGCCTCGTGACGGGGCAATGGTGCAAAGAACCAGGGGATTATCGACGCCGGTAGGTCCCTGGTAGGTGGCATGGATTCTGCCGAAGCCGAAGTCCAGTTGTGCAGCAGCGGAGCGCATTGGCGTCGGCCGGTGCTAGGCCCCGTTCTTCAAGGATGGATAGAACAGGGAAACTTTGGGATTCATTTTTTTTTTGCATGTTATGTGAGTAGTGGCGCTATGGCCCACTTCCAAAAGTACAAAAAAGACGAAATGGCTTCCAAAAGTACAAAAAAAAACGAAATGGCTTCCAAAAGTATAAAAAAAAGACGAAATGGCTGTGAATCTTCCCACTTTCAAGGCAAGATTCATTCTCATTTTGCATGTTATGTGAGTAGAGGCGCTATGGCCCACTACTTCCAAAAGATGCCCTCCACAACTATGCACTGCCTGTTGGCTTTCTTGGAGCACACAAGACAAAACTGTAAATCTTCCCATTTTCAAGGGAAGATTCATTCTCATTTTGCACATTACCTGAGGGCCTCGCCACACCACAGTCGAAAGGCCAAAAAATTTGACGGCTGTCAGAACAAATTCGACAGCCTCCATTCGACAGTTTGCCCCCCTTCGCCACACAACACTGTAGAGTGCACGCACTTGTGAAAGCAAGATGGAAAAAGACGAACGCGCCTGAGGGTACGACAAGCATTAGTCCATCCCGACCTTACCCCCGCTCACCAAATTTCGAAGCGAAGTCGACGGCGCAGCCGAGGAGTGTCAAAAGCATCGGAGTAGCAGGCTGGGGATTCAACAACTTTCGACAGGAGGTGTCGAGAAGTATTCTCAGACAACTTGCAAATTTTCTTCCCGTCTCCAACTTCGACAACCTGTGTGGCGAAGAGGAACTATCAAAAATCGCATTTTCGACAGTGGTGCATTGAGGCCCTGAGTCGTAGAGCTACGACCCACTTCCAAAAGATGCCCTCTTCAGCGGCACACGCCAGTTGGCTTGGAGCACAAAAGACAAAAAACGAAGTGACGG